CCAGCCGGAATTCCAGATGTTCCAGAGTGGTTCTCACCTTCGTTGTATATAGGGCCTGGAAAGCCAGCTTCTCCTTCTTCTTGAGGTTATCTTGAGATGATTTCGGGGCTTTAGTGTCCCCGCGGCCCGGTCCTCGACCAGGCCTCCACCCCCAGGAAGCAGCCCATGACAGCTGACTAACACCCAGGTACCTATTTTACTGCTAGGTAACAGGGCCATAGGGTGAAAGAAACTCTGCCCATTGTTTCTCGCCGGCGCCCGGGATCGAACCCGGGACCACAGGATCACAAGTCCAGCGTGCTGTCCGCTCGGCCGACCGGCTCCCTTGTCCAAGTTTCTGAAGGATACCCGGATGTTGGCCAGGATGCCAAATACAGCCGTTGTTATTCTGATAATGTGGGCTTCCGGCATTAAATTTGGGGTCATGTCCACTCCTAGGTCTTTCATCCCACCCACTTGGGCTGGACGGTAGAGCGACGGTCTTGCTTCATGCAGGTCTGTGTTCAATCCCCCGATCGTCCAAGTGGTTGGGCACCATTTCTTCCCTCCGTCCCATCCCAAATCCTTATCCTGACCTCTTCCCAGTGCTATATAGTCGTAATGACTTGGCGCTTTCCCCAGATAGTTCCTTCCTTCCTAGGTCTTTCTCCTTTTCTGGTTCAAAAATCTGTCTTCCTCTCATTCTTAGACTACTTAAGACTACTTAATCTGGGTATGAGGTCATTATTGATAATTTTTTATTCATAAAACTTGTCAATATCAACAAAATATCTCTATAACATCTGCAGAATGCTAACATTAATTTCCCAAATTGATAACAATTGTGAACAAATTCCTGTTCACCTGTGACTTAGCTTACAGACACACACATGAAGAACAGTGAACATATTGACCAGAGAATACTGACGATGGGGTGGGAAAAGTTGATAAAAGTTCCTAAGAAAAAATCAATAACAAAGTTCCCCAGAAATTTTAATCGTATGTATGTGTAAATATATATGTGTGTGTATGTGTGGGTACTCACCTAGTTGTACCCAGTTACTGGTGGTTGCAGTATCGAACACTGACCTTTTCAATCATCAGTAGTTCAATGCGGTGACTTTTCCCCAGCTTTTCATATATATATATATTTAAAATCTGTGTATCGAACTGTCTTTGACAACTTCCTCCTCTCGTCAGTTCCAGTTATTTACGACTCTGAGACTGAAATTATTTTCTGACATCCTTGACTCATCTGTTTCTAAGTTTTCAATTATGTCCTCTCACTGTGTGTGTGTGTGTGTGTGTGTGTGTGTGTGTGTGTGTGTGTTTGTAATCACCTATTTGTCCTCACTTATTTGTGGCTGCAAGGTCGAACATTAACTCATAGACCCCGCCTTTTTAGCCGCCATTTGGCCGTTTGTTTAAAGCAATGACTCCTGTCCTGTTTCCCTATCATATCTTTTAAAATAATGAATAGAGTTTGTTCCCACAGCCTGTGTGTGTGTGTGTGTGTGTGTGTGTGTGTGTGTGTGTGTGTGTGTGTGTGTGTGTGTGTGTGTGTGTGTGTGTGTTTTGCTTGCTTATGTGTGTGTTGGTGAATGAGAACGCTAGTGTTGGAGAATGGGGGAGGGGGGAGGAAATAGTGGTGGAGAAATTCTTCTCCAGGCCAGGCGCCCTCTCCCTCTCTTCAACAACTCACCAATAACTTAACAACTCCTCGCCAACTCGCCAAAAACTCCTCGCCAACTCGCCAAAAACTCCTCGCCAACTCGCCAAAAACTCCTCGCCAACTTATATTTTACCATTCACAAGATTTAAGATTTCGTGAACGGCCAAAAGCGAAACGCAAAATATTTTTAAGAGTTAATCCGTTGTTATTGTAACAAAAACGATTGGGCGGTCGTTGTTCCTTTGACATATAAAAAAAGTAAATAAATTAACCTAATATTTATAGAAGTGATGTAAATTTCCTTATTAAATTATTGCATTAATATACCCATTTTAACAGAGAGTAAAATAACTGTCCTCTCTGTAATTATTGTACTACGACTACTGACTCAGTCGTACATACGACCACAGTGACTACTGACTCGGTCGTACATACGACCACAGTGACTACTGACTCGGTCGTACATACGACCACAGTGACTACTGACTCGGTCGTACATACGACCACAGTGACTACTGACTCGGTCGTACATACGACCACAGTGACTACTGACTCGGTCGTACATACGACCACAGTGACTACTGACTCGGTCGTACATACGACCACAGTGACTACTGACTCAGTCGTACATACGACCACAGTGACTACTGACTCAGTCGTACATACGACCACAGTGACTACTGACTCGGTCGTACATACGACCACAGTGACTACTGACTCGGTCGTACATACGACCACAGTGACTACTGACTCAGTCGTACATACGACCACAGTGACTACTGACTCGGTCGTACATACGACCACAGTGACTACTGACTCGGTCGTACATACGACCACAGTGACTACTGACTCGGTCGTACATACGACCACAGTGACTACTGACTCGGTCGTACATACGACCACAGTGACTACTGACTCAGTCGTACATACGACCACAGTGACTACTGACTCAGTCGTACATACGACCACAGTGACTACTGACCCAGTCGTACATACGACCACAGTGACTACTGACCCAGTCGTACATACGACCACAGTGACAACTGACCCAGTCGCACATACGACCACAGTGACTACTGACCCAGTCGTACATACGACTACAGTGACTACTGACTCAGTCGTACATACGACCACAGTGACAACTGACCCAGTCGTACATACGACCACAGTGACTACTGACTCAGTCGTACATACGACCACAGTGACTACTGACCCAGTCGTACATACGACCACAGTGACTACTGACCCAGTCGTACATACGACCACAGTGACTACTGACTCGGTCGTACATACGACCACAGTGACTACTGACCCAGTCGTACATACGACCACAGTGACTACTGACCCATTTATACACACGACCAGCCTGCAGACTGGAGTTCCACCAGTTCAGACCATAGAGTCTGAATAGAGTTATATAGAGTTATATAGAGTTATAGGTTATATAACCTTTACCATGTCGTGGTCCTGGGGGTATGGAATGCATCTGGGATTATCCCAGAACACTGAGTTCGATCCCCAACTGTCCTATTCCAATGATTCTCAACTGACGAAAACATCTGTCCTGAAGTTAGCATCCTACAGACGGTTGCTAAGAATTCATTAATCAGATCATTAAATATCTTACTCTCTAAGTTTCCCTCCCCCGTACCCGGGTCTCTGGACTCTCCACCTCCACTGCATCGACTACAAATTTCCTGATTCCACGTCATCCAGAAATAGTTGGTGGTCTTTCTTGCTGTCTCGTGTGTCGAGGCATCCACTGTAGGGCATCACATAGTTCCTTGTCTATCGACTTGAGAATGGTCCAGGACGGACCGAAACGTCGTCGTCCCTTCAACTTCTAGTGTGTGGTCTGGTCAACATAGTTCCTTGTCCTTTTCTTGTCCATTCCAACCTGACCTGTAAATCTTTCGATATTAACTGCATTCGTTAATGACTAAATAAAGCTTGCGAAACCTCTTTATCTTCGGAATTCATGTCATTCAGAGATTGATATACAGTAAATATTTATTCTGGCGCTGTTGTGATGTGGAATTTTAATATCTAAAAAGAAATTCATGGGTAGATGTCTTTCATCTACCCATGAATTTACCCATCTACCCATCTACTGCACCTGTCAGAGTGCTTTCTCTGACATATGCTTTCACTCCGACTTTCTCTCCGGGTAAAAGGTTTTCAGTGTTTTAAATACGGAATATCTCCCATTTCTTCTGATTTAACTCTTTCTCTGCAGTTATATATATTCTAGTTTATATATATTTTTACTGTGTTATTGGTTTTGTATACAACGGAACAGGAATAGAAAGAGGGAGGGACTGAAGAACAGAAGAAAGAGTAGATGGGAGAGGAGGAAAAAAATTAAGAATAAGAGGGAATAGGAGGACGACGAGATAAAATAATAAATAGAAAGAACACGTGAGAAAAAAGATTATTGCTTCTCATTAGAGTTTTATTATTCGATTTATTTGTGGGTATTTAAAAGCCACGAAAATAAAGGAAAATGGAATAACGGGAGGGAAGCAAATGAGAAGGAGGAATATACGAGAAAGAAAAGACAGATGACAAGAAGGAAAGTGGAAGGGAGAAGGTAAGACAAAGTTCACAGACAAGTGAAGGAGAAGAAATAGAAGTAAACACACACAGAATAATAAAAATGATTCAAGAAGAAAAAGAAGTGTAAGAAAGAGAAGCTGTAGGAAAGGTTAAGAAAATTTATGAGGCATGAATGAGTGAGTTTCTGATGAGTCGAATGATTGAATGAGTCTTTAAGGCACTCTCCTAATGAGTGCCAAACCAGTTATGACATTGCCAAAATGTTTCCGTAATCTCCAAGTCTGCGTGCATAAAGAGCATCAGATTGTGGATTGGACAATCAACACAGCATCAATCTATTAGATGATTGATGCTAATCTGAGGATAGCAGGAAGCCCTCACCTACTTGATAACAAGTCGTGAAGCCGAGTGAATGTCTAAGTTAGTGCAGTCAAGAGTGTGAAGGATATCAGGACTTGCCACCAGTCGTGACAAAGGGGAGAGTAGATCAAGACATAGTGGGTTACGGGGCTATTCATGCCCGTGCCACCTCCTGGATTGCCTTAATCTTAATCAGTCAATCAACATAGTAGAAGTCAAAGATGCCGGGTCTACAGAATTATTACACATAAATTTTTCTGTGTGGGCTTCAGCTTTGAAGACAGACAGAAAGACAGACATTAAAATGTACCATGTTGGGAGTCATTAGAATGATCTATAAACCCCTCAGTAATGCGGTATGACGTGAAGAACATAACTTAGCGTTGCCAGGTAGAAGTGTCCTCTCCAAGACGCAAAAACAGGGTAGGTCGATATGGAGGAGAAGCTGTTACCCATGCAGCAAGTCACCCCTCTCCACGACGCTGAAATTGTCCAGTGGAAAGGCAAACGCCAATGAATATCCTGAAGTAGCTTAACTTTAAGATATTCATTGATTATTTGGGGTTTGAGCGAGCGAGCGGCAGCTATGAACTCTATAGATACCTGGTTGATACCTGGTTGATGGGGTTCTGGGAGTTCTACTCCCCAAGCCCGGCCCGAGGCCAGGCTTGACTTGTGAGAGTTTGGTCCACCAGGCTGTTGCTTGGAGCGGCCCGCAGGCCCACATACCCACCACAGCCCGGTTGGTCCACCAGGCTGTTGCTTGGAGCGGCCCGCAGGCCCACATACCCACCACAGCCCGGTTGGTCCGGCACTCCTTGGAGGAATAAATCTAGTTTCCTCTTGAAGTTATGTCAGACAATATCATTGGACTTGGATTTAAGTAAGGACACAGCACAATGTTAAACCAACTGGTTCTCTACCATCACAGGAACGTCAGAGTGCCACTCTAGTCATGGAGCCTTCATGGCTTTCAGCAGTGAGTGCCAAACTAGTCGTGAAGTCTTCAAGGCACTGTGAGTGCCAGTCAACAATGTTACGATGTCTCCGAGACAGTTCCTCAGCCAGCTCGGCGGAGATGTAGAAGGAGAGAGAGTTGGTATTAAATGGTCATTACCAAGATCTTGACTGTCGTATGCGAACTGCTTCGGCTAGTTTCACAACTAGAAGTGCATCTACAAGTTGATAATCTGCTTTGCTTACTTGTTTGTTCTTGTTCTCTCTCTCTCTCTCTCTCACACACCTTCAGTTTTATTATAACTTATTCTACATCAACTAGTTTTCAAGAGAAAACTGGATAGTTTTCTTCAAGAAGTGCCGGACCAGCCGGGCTGTAGTGGATATGTGGACCTGCGGGCCGCTCCAAGCAACAGCCTGTTGGACCAAATTATCACAAGTCGAGCCTGGCCCCGGATCAGGGTAAGGGAGTAGAAGAACTCTCACAACTCCATCCAGGTACAAACGCCTCTGAAATCTTACCCTACAAACTCAATTAAGTTTTAGCTTATTATTGATTTCATTTAGGAGTCAAAATTTACTTAATCCATAGATGCAGTCATGTTAGCTACTGCTTGGAGCCAACTGTGTGCCAGAGCTCATAAACTCTGCCTTGGACTAGATTTTTTAGGGACTAGAATCATAGTGAATCTATGATGCAAGGGTTCCAGTTCTATTTGATTGTCAATGGTGTCATTTGTGAGTTATAGAATGCATTTAATATCTGCTCTGGAACTTGTTTTGGGGGCTTCAGCTACCACTCAGCCTATTTCCAAACTTTCAAGGATCAACAGGCTTGGTAACGTAGTGTTGGCAAGGCATACTCTGGTGTTTGAAGTTCACTATTTAATTGGTGAAGGCATTTGCTTTGCTGTTCTTTTTCTTTGCTTTGCTGTTCTTTTTCTTTGCTTTGCTGTTTAGCTGTTTTATTAAAGTCTGAAGGTTGGACAGAACACCTGGTCGAGTCTGGAGGTTGGACAGAACACCTGGTCGAGTCTGGAGGTTGGACAGAACACCTGGTCGAGTCTGGAGGTTGGACAGAACACCTGGTCGAGTCTGGAGGTTGGACAGAACACCTGGTCGAGTCTGGAGGTTGGACAGAACACCTGGTCGAGTCTGGAGGTTGGACAGAACACCTGGTCGAGTCTGGAGGTTGGACAGAACACCTGGTCGAGTCTGGAGGTTGGACAGAACACCTGGTCGAGTCTGGAGGTTGGACAGAACACCTGGTCGAGTCTGGAGGTTGGACAGAACACCTGGTCGAGTCTGGAGGTTGGGCAGAACACCTGGTCGATACTGGAGGTTGGGCAGAACACCTGGTCGAGTCAGGAGGTTGGACAGAACACCTGGTCGAGTCTGGAGGTTGGACAGAACACCTGGTCGAGTCTGGAGGTTGGACAGAACACCTGGTCGAGTCTGGAGGTTGGACAGAACACCTGGTCGAGTCTGGAGGTTGGACAGAACACCTGGTCGAGTCTGGAGGTTGGACAGAACACCTGGTCGAGTCTGGAGGTTGGACAGAACACCTGGTCGAGTCTGGAGGTTGGACAGAACACCTGGTCGAGTCTGGAGGTTGGACAGAACACCTGGTCGAGTCTGGAGGTTGGACAGAACACCTGGTCGAGTCTGGAGGTTGGACAGAACACCTGGTCGAGTCTGGAGGTTGGACAGAACACCTGGTCGAGTCTGGATGCTGGACAGAACACCTGGTCGAGTCTGGAGGTTGGACAGAACACCTGGTCGAGTCTGGAGGTTGGACAGAACACCTGGTCGAGTCTGGAGGTTGGGCAGAACACCTGGTCGTGACTGGAGGTTGGGCAGAACACCTGGTCGATACTGGAGGTCGGACAAAACACCTGGTCGAGTCTGGAGGTTGGACAGAACACCTGGTCGATACTGGAGGTCGGACAAAACAACTTGCAAGCTGGATGTTGTAGAAAACACTGTGCCTCTTCATTGCTTGGGTTTTACAAATAACAAATCACTTCTACAACGTGGCTGTGCAAGACATGTTCTTGCAGATATAATCCTTTTCACACTTGCTCTTTATTACCATCTTTATACATTCTTCTACATCCTTCTTTACTCATCTTCTTCAGCCTCATCTTTCAACTTCTTATCTTCTTAATTTTGGGAATTTTTGTATTTAATAATCTTTCCGACGAGCAGCTTTTCCGCGATTAATGAAACGGAAAGATAGTCTTGGGCATCGAGATTCCCCTTTTTCTCAAGGGAAGTTTATAATTCACAAGAACCACAAACTTGTATTGATGGAAGATGTGTGTGTGTGTGTGTGTGTGTGTGTGTGTGTGTGTGTGTGTGTGTGTGTGTGTGTGTGTGTGTGTGTGTGTGTGTGTGTGTGTGTGTACTCACCTAATTGTACTCACCTAATTGTGCTTGCGGGGGTTGAGCTTTGGCTCTTTGGTCCCGCCTCTCAACTGTCAATCAACTGGTGTACAGATTCCTGAGCCTACTGGGCTCTATCATACCTACATTTGAAACTGTGTATGGAGTCAGCCTCCACCACATCACTTCCTAGTGCATTCCATTTATTAACTACCCTGACACTGAAAAAATTCTTTCTAACGTCTCTGTGGCTCATCTGGGTACTAAGTTTCCACCTGTGTCCCCTTGTTCGTGTCCCACCCGTGCTGAAGAGTTTGTCTTTGTCCACCCTGTCAATTCCCCTGAGAATTTTGTAGGTGGTTATCATGTCTCCCCTTACTCCCCTTACTCTTCGTTTGTGTGTGTGTGTGTGTGTGTGTGTGTGTGAGTGAACTTACCTATTTGTGCCTGCAGGATCGAGCTCTAGCTCTTTGACCCAGCTTTTCAAGCTGCGGATTGTCTAATGCAATGTTTCCTGGCCTATTTCCCTATCTTTTTAGCTTTAGATTTATGATTCTGGAACAAATCTTCTCGATATTTTTTTTGTTTGTTCACTGAAGAAGGAAGTTGAAAAATTAGCTCTACAAACATAATTTTTACTTTTTATTGAGTCTGACGCCTAGTGATGCGTTTCGCAAGGTCACTCTTCACATTTTCAGAAACAAATTCTACCATGTCAAAGACAAAGTAGAATTATAATTGTTTTGAACAGTCAGTGTGACCTAGCGATAACAGTACTTGACAAGCCAATGGGCATGGAACCCTGGTTGCCTGGGTTCGAATCCATCAGGGGTAAAGAGTCTTATGTAGGAAACAAAGTGTGGGAGAGAGGAGGAGGGGGGTTTTGGAGACGTGTGTGTTGAAAAGGGGGAGCATGTGTCGACAGTAGAAGATGATTTAAAAAAGAAAGCATTTTAAAGTTTAGTGCCTAACTTTTTCCTTCAGGGCAGCTCTCAAGACTCCAAGTTTCAGGTCATATTTCATGTTTGTCGTGAGGGACTTGTCAAAGATGCCTCTGGGAGCTTTTCTCTGCTTTCTCCACCAGCTGAGGGCCTCCGGTGATGACCTTCAAGTGCTTCGTTACATATAGTTAGTAGCGAAGACCCTACTGACCTTCAAGAAGGCACTTGTTAATGGTTTAAGTAATAGTTGCATCGTTTCTTCATTAAGTAAAGAAATCTTTAATTTATGTTCAGCCATTATACCATCTACTGGCAAATGATAAACTATTGTTCAATTATTTTTTGCAGATATCAAGTTGAAATCTTAATTGTTTACTAAACTTAAATTCAATAAAAATTAATATAAAATGAAGAAATAAATTTTTTAATTTTTACTTACGACATAATTAGCATTTATAGTATTATTTTAATTATTATTTATATTTAAAGGACAGTGAATACCATTTTGAATAATTAGGGCGCCTGACCACTTAAATACATAATTCAACTTTTTAATAGCAGCTGAAAGTCTAGGTACATATTTTAACATCATCAAATCTGCAGGCGAGGAGTCACAATAACGTGGCTAAAGTATGTTGACCAGACCACACACTAGAAGGTGAAGGAACGACGACGTTTCGGTCCGTCCTGGACCGAAACGAAACCACAATCGACTTGAGAATGGTCCAGGACGGACCGAAACGTCGTCGTCCCTTCACCTTCTAGTATGTGGTCCGATCATCATCAAATCTTTTGGAGAAATGTGATGGGGTTTACGAGGGCCACCAGCACATCGAGGGCCACCCTAGACATACGCACAACCCTCTACACCATGATGAGCGTATTACTGATATTCTCGGCGGGAAGGCGAGTGAGAGTAGTGTGTGAGAGGTGAGTGAGATTTGGAGAGAGAGAATAGTGAGGGGGTTCAATAGAGAAAGAATAGTGAGTGAGAGTACATTGGGGCTTGATTGAGTAGCAGTTAATGGGGTGAAAGTGGGAAGGTGAGAGTATAGTGAAAGTATAGTGAGAGTTGGAGGGATCAGAGAGGCAGGAAAGTCAATAATAACTTGTACAGCACTACAGTAATATTGTTGATTTTTACTGCTAAAGCTACAGTTTTGATACGAGAGAAGAAACGAAAGTTTTAGCATTTTCACATATTAAAATCAATAAAGTAATATAGTTTGAGTACCAGGAGTGGAAATTATAATGAACTCTCCTAACTTGTACATGAGAAAAGTATCTTCATCGACAGGAATTCACATTCTTAAAGCTGCAGACCCCAGAGAGAAAATGCGAGAAGAGCAGAGAGAGATCTTGAGAGAAGAGATATCATAAGAGAAGAGATTGAGTTCATAATACACATACACACACACACAACTGTGTGTGTGTGTGTGTGTGTGTGTGTGTGTGTGTGTGTGTGTGTGTGTGTGTGTGTGTGTGTGTGTGTGTGTGTGTGTGTGTATTCACCTAGTTGTATTCACCTAGTTGCGTTTGCGGGGTTTGAGCTTTGCTCTTTCGGCCAGCCTCTCAACTATCAATCAACTGTTTACTAACTACTACTTTTCCACATCACATACACCCCAGGAAGCAGCCCGTGACAGCTGACTAACTCCCAGGTACCTATTTACTGCTAGGTAACAGGAGCATCATGGTGAAAGAAACTTTGCCCATTTGTGCCTCGTGCTGGAATCGAACCCACGCCACAAAATTACGACTCCTGCGCGCTTTCCACCAGGCTACGAGGCCCCTGTGTGTGTGTGTGTGTGTGTGTGTGTGTGTGTGTGTGTGTGTGTGTGTGTGTATGTGTGTGTGTACGTACGAGTAATTATTCTATCACCTCGTTCCTCTTAACAGGTAAACAATGCATTATAGCATGAAGAATAGAACCCGAACCTCCATATAAACCACCACATAAACCATTTATCAAACCAAAATTTCCACCTGGTTGATACCTGGTTGATGGGGTTCTGGGAGTTCTTCTACTCCCCAAGCCCGGCCCGAGGCCAGGCTTGACTTGTGAGAGTTTGGTCCACCAGGCTGTTGCTTGGAGCGGCCCGCAGGCCCACATATACCTGGTTGATGGGGTTCTGGGAGTTCTTCTACTCCCCAAGCCCGGCCCGAGGCCAGGCTTGACTTGTGAGAGTTTGGTCCACCAGGCTGTTGCTTGGAGCGGCCCGCAGGCCCACATATACCTGGTTGATGGGGTTCTGGGAGTTCTTCTACTCCCCAAGCCCGGCCCGAGGCCAGGCTTGACTTGTGAGAGTTTGGTCCACCAGGCTGTTGCTTGGAGCGGCCTGCAGGCCCACATATACCTGGTTGATGGGGTTCTGGGAGTTCTTCTACTCCCCAAGCCCGGCCCGAGGCCAGGCTTGACTTGTGAGAGTTTGGTCCACCAGGCTGTTGCTTGGAGCGGCCCGCAGGCCCACATATACCTGGTTGATGGGGTTCTGGGAGTTCTTCTACTCCCCAAGCCCGGCCCGAGGCCAGGCTTGACTTGTGAGAGTTTGGTCCACCAGGCTGTTGCTTGGAGCGGCCCGCAGGCCCACATACCTACCACAGCCCGGTTGGTCCGGCAACAAGCCTCAAAATGCCATCCTTCAAATATTGTTTACAAAACCAAATTGTCTTGAATTAAAGTAATTTAAAACTCCCCTTCCTCCACCCTTCTTTACAACCACAAAGTAAAAAGCAAAATAGGAAAATGGGACCATCTTCTTAAATGTGTAATAAGATGCAAATCAAATCAACCTGACACCCTCCCTCTCCTCCTGATTTCCATACAAGATTATCAGTCTACCCAAGTTTGGTTTATTGATTATTCTTGGAGGGCTTGAGAACTTTACTTATTTTTTTAGATACTTTAAAAATTCGGTTTATATTTACGTGGATTAACATTAATATTTTTTTAATAAACTCGAGTGATGAGAGCTTTATTGGTGTTAGTTTTACATCATTACTTGAGGTTATCTTGAGGTTATCTTGAGATGATTTCGGGGTTTTAGTGTCCTTGCGGCCCGGTCCTCGACCAGGCCTTTACCCCCAGGAAGCAGCCCGTGACAGCTGACTAACACTCAGGTACCTATTTTACTGCTAGGTAACAAGGGCATAGGGTGAAAGAAACTCTGCCCATTGTTTCACGCCGGCGTCTGGGATCGAACCCGGGACCACAGGATCACACGTACAGCGTACTGTCCGCTCCGCCGACCGGCTCCTGTCATAACGTATGCCTCATTTTCAAGACGCTACTAAAAAGTCACAATTTCAACATATATCCGGACCATCACCAGAGGGATTGTGAGCAGCAACACCGAAACAATCACCAGATATAACTACAGTAGGTGATTAGACATAGCCGAAGCACTACACGTCAGACACTCATTTAATCATCACCAGCCAATCTGAAAATGCTGGACCACAGAAAATATAGTAATGTAGATAGGTGGAACTAGCCTCCTGGTCGTCAATAAAACGACTCTACTGGTGATTAGACAGACAGATGACCCTAGACATGCAACCCGTTCTCGCACTTTCTTAGAGTCAATATTGACTTATTAAATAGTGCATATGTGACATACTTAACATACTAGTTTACCTTGAAAAGCTTC